AAAAAAAAAGAAAAGTCGCAGTTCATAGCTCTGTAGAATTCTCCACTTCGTTTCGCATTTCACATTTCACCTGTGTACAAAAACAGAATTCCTATTATTAAAACATTAAAACCAGCACCTATTATTCCAGCATTAATAAAAATTTTTGCAGTTTATAATGTTTCTCAAGTCGCTTCACCTTCTCACCGTTGCCATTCTCTTCAGTTTTTTACCTTTTACTCGCTTGATAAAGATATGCAGACAGCACAATGAAAATGTGGTCCTCACACTTAATTAAGAACGCCTCGCACCGAGGTGCAAAGTGTCCTCAACTGTGGTATTCTGGTACGCTACAAAATTATAGTTTAACAACTCACTGATCGCATAAAGTTACTTCTTACAATCACTAATCACCTTATAATAACGTGCTCGAATGCCCTACGCAACCTCCAATAAGCAGAGTTACGAAAGAGCAGCTCTCCTATCATCACTGCCTTACCGCAGTGCTTTGACACCTCAAAATAACGTGCTCCAGTGCGAAGGCCGCGACGCGACCGCTGTAAGTAGGGTTTGTCTGATCTTGTTAAGTTCTTCTGAGGTACAATGGCATCTTTCATAGTCCACGACCGGTCGTGGACTACGAAAGATGCTAATGCAGAATTATACATATATCATTTTCACAGAAGAACTTAAACAACATAATCAGATAAGCCCTACGTGTGAGCGGTTGCGTCGCGGGTTCGCGCTATAGCGCGCTATTTTAAGGTGTCTAAGCACTGCGGGAAGGCCTTGATGACAGGAAGACTCTCTCTTTCGTGACTCTGCTTATTGGCAGTTGCGTAGAACGTTTGAACGCGTTATTCCAAGGTGGTTACTGATTGTACGAAGTAACTTTCTACGATCAATGGGCTGCTAAATCATAGTTGGGTAATCTCGCTAATAATCTACTCTTTTCTTGCATGTGTCCTCGCTCATGCTTCTTCCAAGACCATTGATCGGTAGTTACCCTACCCTAGTGAATGGCATGTGAACACTCCTATGTGTTTCTATTCCTATTGCAGGCTTCTTGGTTGCTGTTTCTTCTGAGATAACTGCCGAGTAATGACCTCCACTGATAGTGTTGAACCCTGATTTAGGGATATGTCAACTTCTGCATAATACCAATCTTGATTAGGTGTGAAGACTACATTTTTATTGTGCTGTCTGCATATCTTTATCAAGCGAGTGAATGATAAAAACTGAAGAGAATGGCAACAGTAAGAAGGTAAGAGATCAGAAGAAAAATTATGAACCGGAAAAGTTTTGGCAGTGCTGGTTAGGAATTTTGTTTTTGTGCACAGTGAAAGGTGAAATGCGATACCAAGAGGAATATTTTATACAACCATGAACCGCGACTTTACTGCTTTTTTTATTTGCAATCAACACACTTGGCCAGTTATAATGGGAAGTT